GTAACCCGGGGACTGCCTGTACTTGAAAACCACTATCATGTCCCCTCTCAGTCTTCTCTTTTCTTAACTACACAAGCCCAATTCTTTCAGTCTTCCCTCATAGCCCATGCTCTCTAGACCTTTAATCGTTTTTGTTGCTTAGGACTTTCTCCAATTTCTACATATCTTTCTTGAAATGTGGTGCCCAGAACTGGATGCAATACTACATCTGAGGCCTAATCAGTGCAGAGACTGATATAGAAGAGACTATAGAGCAGTGTTTCCCAGTTGGTGCTCCGCGAAACCTTGGGGTTCCGCTAAGCGAAAGTAGGGGTTCCGCGAAAAGCCGGCACTCCCCTGCCCCTTCTGAAAGAGAGAGAGGCGGCTAGCTTGTTTCCCGTTCCTCCCTGGCAACGCAGAAGCATAGGGAGGCGGGGGCAGAGGGAACAGTTGCTCCTGGCTGGCACACTAGGAGAGGTGTCAGATGGGGTGAGACTACATGACCCCCCCCCCCCCCCCCAAAGGAGCCAGCGTGCACTGCCTGAACAGCTGGGGCTGTGGCACCCGGCAGCTTAGTTCTGCCATCTTTCTGCGCAGTACGTGTGGGGGGGAGAGGGTCAGGAGACCTGTCTCTGCACAGCTCCGACTATGCAGGCAGCGTGATTTGCCTGGGCCTCACCCACACTCCCCCCGCTCCTGCGCAGGATGGCATCACAGAAGTAAGTTGCTGGAATGCAAGAGCTCCTGCTGCTCAGGCAGCGTGCACACCAGCTTTTTGGGGAGGGGAAATGCAGTCGCACACTTCCCGGAACCCAGAGGTGCTGCAGGATTGCCAGGTAGTGATCCCAGCTGCCCATGTCCCCTGCCCAGACCCCCCATGAGTACCCTGCCCCCACCAGCACTGTCCCCAGCACCCAGCAGCATCCTGCCCCCGGTCCCAGCGCCCTGCCGCCCACCCTGGCACCAACCCCAGGACCCTGTCCCTTGTCCCAGCACCCTGCCACTCACTCCAGCACCCAGCAGCACCCTGTCCCTAGCCCCAGCATCCTGCCACCCACCACAAGACCCTGACCCTGCTCCCAGCACCATGCCATCCACCCCAGCATCCAGCACCACCCTGTCCCTGGCCCCAGCATCCTGGCCCAGCAGCACCCTCTCCCCGGCCCCATCACCCACTAGCACCCTGTCCCCTGCCCTCATCAGCACAGTTGGGACCACATTAGTGAGGATTGGGGGGGGGGGGGTGGGGTCTC